CACAACCTAAAACATGTCAAAAGGATTGATTGACAGAAACTTTCTAAACTTATATCATAGCAGTGTAATAATTCAAAATTTATTCACCCAAAAACATAGCAGTCTAACAAGTAAATTCTATATGGTTGATGGCTGTATTTGTCTCAGCAGTATCAAAACATAATTAGCTCATTCAGTTTTCCAAAATCATCGCAGCCAAAACACAATTACCTCATTCATTTTTTGCATCATACCTCATCCATTTTTCAATATCGTAGCAGCCAAAAGCATAATTACCTCATCCATTTCTCAAAAATCATCACTACTAACTATATCGCTTGTGCGACAGTCCACTCTTTACCGGCGCCTTTCTCTGTCAAGGAAAAAGTGGACTGCATCCTCAGACGAATAGGCAGCGGCATCAGCAAGTTGATCAACAAGCACTTTGGCATCTGGCACTGGGGGCGTCCACATGTACTTTGCAGTAATTTCGGTTGGCGTTGTAAAGGCCTGTCCTTGCACACTTTGCATTTCAGATGCTGCAGATAACAGCAGAACCATTGGACGCCGTTCCAGCTATGGCGGCGTCTTCAGGAACTGCTGGTAGAACGCAGGGCAAGCAAAGAGCAAGTGGCACTCATCAAAGACCAGCGCCTGATCATTGTCATGTACATATTTGACTGCATCTTCGATGCTTCGTTTCGCTACATCAGGAGCGGAAGGCTCCTTCTCCAAAGCTGCCTTGAACTTTATCTGCTAGTGCTGAAAGGTCAAACTATCAAAAGCAGGATGATCAACTTGCAAGTACTTGGACGGCTGCTGCTGGCAAAGATATTGCGCTAACGTAGACTTGCCGCTAGCCACACCAGCACGTAGAAAAACAACCCTCTCCTCTTACAACAAAGCGAATCGTTTCGTCCAAAGGGATGAACACATTCTTGTCAAAGTGTGCGGGTTCCTCTGCTTTTGGAATTTTGCACATTTTCGACAGCGCTTCCACCAATCGCTCCACAAGGTCTGCTTTTGGCCCTGACACGTGCAAGCCCTTCTCACGCAGCTTTGCTTTCAGTTCTGGCACCATCAACTTTTTAAGGCTTGCTCTAGTAGCTTCTCTGCCACCTGGTGCTGCTAGAGTTTGCGGGCCGTTGATGGGCAGGTGCAAGAAGCACAGCGCGACAACCGCAATAGCAAATAACAGTTTGAAGCAACGTGATTGACCAACTCGTTGGCGAGCCATGGCTTCGAAAAGGAATGTTCCTACCCTCGAAACTTTACTAGGACAAAGGTGACGAAAACATGGTTGACACTCAATGTATCAACTTTCACGAGCTTGAAAGGGAGGCGCAATGTAAGCAAGCATGACAAAGAGCAAGCGCACTCACACACTTGAGATTATGCGTGCTGATTGGATGCGGTTTGCCCCCCGCCAACCTGGGTTCCCAAATCCTGAAAAATTCAGGAAAACCCTGTGTAGCCTGGAGGTCTTCAAAGGGAGAAGAGGCCAAAAACTCAAGTCAAGACCGAAAGGACAACCAACTGCATCCATGGGGTTGCCCCCCTGCAAATTAAAATCAAACCCAAAACAACCCAAAAGGATCCCTATGATTCCAAGGGTTACGCGCACACGCCTCCCCGATAGGAAGCGAAAAATGCTAAGGCCAGGACGGATGTGCATGCGTGCGCGCAGCAAAGACAAGAGAATGAAGACGCGACAAGAGGGCGGGACGGGATAGAGGTGTATGTGGTTGTGATGAAAGGGAACCAAGTGCACTGTGCATAGGGACAAGAATGGAAACCCACCTCATTGTAAAGACCTGGGCGACCGGAAGCCTGGGTTAAACGTAAATGTAGTTGTGCACGTACACGCTAAGGCTGGGACCAATGTGTGCGCAAACGAAAGAAAGGATGAGATGACAAGATATGAAGACAGGAGGACATGAAGGAAAAGAGGAAGACAGATGTGTGTGAAGGGGAAAAGGATGAAAAGGGAGCCAAGTGGAGGGGACGAGAAACGATGAAGCCCAACCTCATTTGAGACACCTAGGCCAACCTCGTTAAAAAGTACGTGCTGTGTGTGCACCTGAGGTAGCGACGGGTCCCAACGGACCCTAAAGATCTACGGTCGCTCTGACCACGTGGTGGCGTTCAGCCAGCTTGGACCGCTGCGGTCACGTAACGGCATAGAGCCAGCTTGGATTTCAATAATTCGCCAAGTCTTGGCAAATAACTTTGGCATAAGCCTCCTGCTGTCCGCTTCGGACACCTACGTTCCCGGGCTGGGGAACAACGACTAACCCCCGTTCGACGGGTCCACAGTGGGGCACTCTACGGGCCCACCCTGGGCTGGCATGAAGCCAGACACACTTGAGATTATGCGTGCTGATTGGATGCGGTTTGCCCCCCGCCAACCTGGGTTCCCAAATCCTGAAAAGTTCAGGAAAGCCCTATGTAGCCTGGAAGTCTTCAAAAGGAGAAGAGGCCAAAAGCTCAAGTCGAGATCGAAACGACAAATGACGGCGTAACGTGCATGTCTGCAGAGTGTACTAGCCCTTTGTGGAAAAGGAGAGTAGCAGCTTGTGAACACCACAATCAAGCAGGTACGTGATCCCAGCATATCCCAGCGTCCCAGGATCATATCAGCCATGGAATGCAGCCCTCTTCGTTGGACAACCAACTGCATCCATGGGGTTGTCCCCCTGCAAATTAAAATCAAGTCCAAAACAATCCAAAAGGATCCCTATGATTCCAAGGGTTACACACACACACACAGGAAAAACCACACAAAATGTCATACTATCCTGTCTGAAGCAAGAGGAGGCATTCGAGGCAACAGTTGCAGCTTGCTCTAAGGCTGGTGCACCTTCATTGCCACTGATCATGACGTCTTTCAACCTTGTCAAACCTGGGTCTCCAATCTTGTGCAGAGTTTGGGGAGTCGCGACTTCACATGGTCTGGGCATGCCTGGTGCTGTCCAAAATGAGACTCCTACGGACGCTCCGTTCGAAGTAGCGCTGGCCAGCCCACGTGAAGGGCCCACCAAAGGTCACTGGCACGCGTTGGCCATACACCGCACCACCTCAAGAATTCTCACGAATGTTTATGCGTGTATTGTCTATGAAATGGGTAGCCTTCAATTCAATGACGTCTTTCACATCTTTAGTTTGGTTACTTGCTCATTGAGGCATGCTCTGAACTTAGGATCAGGCCGGTGGAAAGCTCTAGGACAGTAGCTTCCTGCTGTGTCAACTCGTCCAACTACTAATGCTCGGAACGCCGGAGCCTGACAGAAAAATCCTGCTGGGACGTCGGCAGCATCCATCAGCAGTGGATCTCGAACTGCCTCAATAAGCAGTTTTCGAGATCCCAATCTCTCCACTGGTCTTCCTGAGGATTCCTGAGGATGAAGCCAAACCTCTGGGGCAGCTCAGGGCCGAGTCCCACTGAACGAGATCCTGTGGCAGCATCGGGCGCTCGCTTTGGCATTGCTGTGCGAGACTGAAGCCATCTTCAGGTCCTGCCCGCTGAAGGGCAGTGGTCTCGGCCCACCTCTCCTGACTCAACAGTAGAGGTCGTGGTCGGGTTGGCTTAAAGCACTGCCCAGAATGCTTTGCTCTGCCCAAGATAGGTGTACTGCCATCTGCTGAATGCAGCTTCCTCCAAGCTGGTGCATCTGGTGAGCTTCGACATGGTGATGATCAAACAAACACGCCTCTCCTGGGCCCGGCGAAACTTGGGCTCGATGTGAACCATCCTTAGTTGAAGACGAGAACATCCTCCTCACACAAGGTCTTCAAGTCCTCCAGATTCCGCCAAAGCCCGTGGCCAGTGAGAACTGCTGGGATCTCCACAGTCCTGAAACCCTGAGCAAAGCAGTGAAACGAAGGCATGTCACTTCAAATGGCACTGAACAGATCTGAACAGTGTCTTCAAGTCCGAAGCACTATGGCCTTCACCGCAAAAGTCTTGGGATTGTGCCTCTGGCATCGGTGATGACATGCAACTCGGTTCATGGTTTCGTTGAAAATGCCTCTGGATTTGGAGGAAGCAGCAGTACCAGCAATTGCGCCTCAAAAACTTCCATGCCACGGCTTTCTTCCGAAAGCACATTGAAGATTTGACACAAATTTGACCAACCTCTCTCTCTCTCTCTCTGACTGACCCTCCAGCCTTGACTGACCAAGCTCAGCAAGCTGAGGAGGGAACACAGTCGAAAGGTATGGATGGATCGAGTGGATCAAGCTCTGAAGCCTCCAAACTCAAATTCCAAGCAGTTGTGATCAAGCGTTGCTTCTTGTTCTTAGAGATGGTTGGCAAAGCCCAGAGTCGAATGTAGCTTGACATCAAGAGGTTCCTCGTCACAAAGCTCACTTCCCTCTTGCAAATGGTCAGCATGAGCCTTGGCGCCACGCAAAGTCCAAGGCAGGTGTTAAATGAAATAATGACATGTCATTACATCTGATGACTTCTCATGTCTTATGACTAAGCTTGGAGACCCATAAGTAGGACAATGCCAAGCTTTTCTTCGCTTTGGCCGACCTCGCTTTGAAGCCCACCCCCTCTTTCGACGGGCGAAAGGTGACAACGTGGCTCGATGCCTTGGCTCTAGGTTCACCCAGTGCTTGTAGTGGGCATGAGCCTAAGAGAGGATGGCTGGCTGCTAGCAGCTAGCAGTGCTGAAACGTCTTGAAAGTCTCATGGCTGCAAAAGCTTGGCTGGAGCACTGCTGTTCGGTTCCCCAAGTCATCGAAAACCTGAGGAACCAAAAATGATCAGACCTCATGCGTATCAGCATACATGGCCCATGGTCTGAGAAAGTTCAGCAAAAGGACACGCAAATCACGTGCACGGCCTGAGCCACATTTTGGTGCGCTGCTGCCGAGTTGGGATCCAAACCTCTGCTGAGGTTTGAACTTGGAGGCCCGGCTTCAACAAACATCACACGAAACCGTTTGAAATGAACATCCGGCAACTAAGAGTCTAGAAAACATATAAAAACATCCACACACACAATAGACCACAAGAGCACTTATTTTGGCATAGCGATGTGAAAGTATGTTTGAAGCAAAGGAGCATTCAGCACACAAAGTGCTGCGAGGAAAACACTTGCTGCACTGAAGCTTGTGCTTCTCTCATTTGCGACCGCAAATTGCGCTCACGAGGCGTCCGAACCACTGGAAATACGAAGTGTTCATGCTCTTGGTTTGTGAAGAAGGTGGAAGAAGAAGGAGGAAGTTCATCCTTTTTGAAGGCACTGACTCGGCCACATTGCTCTCTGCACTCTCTTTCCAGTAGGTATTCTCGACGAGTAGCTTGGCTCGACCTTCGTCATACATATCCACCATGTTCATTAGGGTCTTGGCCTCATCCTGGAAGAAGGAAGCGATCAAGCAAATGCCATTCTGCGAAGCTTTGATCACAGAGCCCATGATTGGAAACCAAGAGCCTCCTTTGGTGACTTCAGGGTGTAAGGCGATGGTCAGCCCAGCTTTTGGCAAAGGATCAAGGTGCAAGTCTCGCACCTGCAAATGCACTTCGATCATTGGATGAAACTCTGCAAACCATCGACGAGCCACGGCCCAATCGTAGTAGTAACGATCTGACATGTCACAACCAAAGATCCTGGCCCCCTTGATGCCTGGCAAAGTAAGGCAATGCTCAGCCAGGAAGTTCCCCAACATGGCATACTCCTGGAACCGCCCGCAGAACGGGACATTCACGCCCAAGATGCCCGAAGCATCTGGTACCAACTGCTTCAAGGACACTGACTGACGCAAGGTGTCCAATGCTGCCAGAAAGGGCCCTCGAATTGTGTTGGATTGGGCTGGCACTTGTTGCACCTCCGTGAGTTCCACAACTCTCTTCAGTTGCCAAGAGCCTTGATGTTGCAATTCGATCAAGTTCCCAGGTCCAACGCTTTCAGGAACCTCAAAGTGAAGATATGTGCCGTCTGGCAGTTGTGGCTTTAGAGCTGCTCCTGGTGTCGCATCAGGAGGCACCACAAAAGCAAACTCTGCAGGTTTCTTCATCATGCGCCAATCGCCATCTGGCCGTTGGAAAGCCAAAACCATCTCACCGGAGTTTAAGCCATGCGGAAGCTCCTTGGCAAGTTTGGTGCCGTCCTGCAAAGGGATGTTGAGAATGCAGCCCTCTTCGCTTCCGGTAGGTACTGGAAAAGTCAAGCGCCGCGTTGGTTGTGGAAGAGTGGTGCACTCTTCCCATGTGCCTGGGCTTGGCACCACCATAGATGGATCACAGTCATCCTTGTCAAGGACAACCTGTGGAACCTCGATCTTGCACAGCTTGGTCTTGATTTGCGCTGGGCTTACGTTCGCCATCGCAATCGATCAATCGATAGGCTGCCGAAGAAACAAAAACGTCCAGGGACATGGAGAGGTGATTTGAGATTTGAGGAGAACTCCTTTAAGGATACTTTGGGTGCACAGTTTTGTACCGCGATTGTGGTCATTGGTTCTGTCTTGAGGCGGGCAGCGAGCCAAATGAATCAACGAAAAACCAGCCGAGACATGAACAACTGCTCAAACCTAGCTTTGCCAGGGCGAAGCAAGGTCAAAGTAGCTTTGAACCCGGCGAAGGCATTCCAAGTATGCTCGAGCGACTGTCTTTGGCCGCGCGAGCAAGTTCAACCTGGATGGCTGGGCGGCGGTGAGGCAAGCTGCCATCAGCAAATCTGAGATTGGCACGTGTTGGCTAAGTAGAAGAAGCCAGCTGGCCTAATTCAGGAAGCTAGAACGTGCCTAACACATGATGAAGCCTGATCAAATTGTCACGTGGTTTGTCTTTCAGCAGGTTTAGCCCGAAACCGAATCTCACTGAGTTGCCGGGCGATGGGTACAAAGCTACAGAAGTCGCCAGCAGCTCCTGAAGCACTGAACTTGGTCAAAAAAGTGTCACGCTGGGTGAATGTACTCAATGCGATCTGTGCCACGTCCTTGGCCCGAAGAAGGGTCTTTGCTTCAAATCGGCTTTTGCCCAGATTGTACATCCGTGTTCCTTGCACCGTTCCACGCGCCGTGCCATGCACCGAAATGCCAGTGAACACAACGCGGTCGCCAAATTTCCACAAACATCCACAACAGTCTCAACATGTCCAAGGCCATTGTCCTCCAACTTGCTTCAGGAGTGCGTTGGAGAACGATATAAGGCATTATAATGCGAACCTATTAGTTGGCCTTATGATAGCTGACATCTATATATATATATATATATTATATACAATGATATCATATGATATCTCATGCGAGCTTTGACCCATAGCCTCCGACCTAGTCACCAAAGTGTCCAGCTATGCTTCTTCCCTTCTGGCTGTGGCCTTGTGCGGCATATCTCTGGGCTTCCTTTTTTGCCTTTCGGGAGCTTGAAGACAATGATCCTCCTTGTGGACTCGAGCAAGCAAACTCTTCCAACATTTTGCAGTGAACATGCACCGTGCGCAAAGGCCTGAAGCCGCACATGCCGGACATGTGCGATAGTATAAAAGACTCTCTGTTGTCACTCTCTCCTTCCATGGTTGGAGCATTTCCTGAGTCAAGTATCCAACACATGCTGGCACAACAATCCGGGAGTAAGCAAAAGGCCTTCACAGTTCTGGGATGTGCACGCAAAACGTAAGATCTTGAGCCGTGCCAGGTGTCCGATGTAGTTTTTCATTGAATTGGAGTCCCACAAACAAGCAATCCACAAATTTCACTACGACGTGTCAGAATGTTTTTTCGTCCTACGGGGATGTGTAGTGATCAGGCACTGATGCATGATGTCGCTTCCCTTCACGCAAGGTGGGCGATCCAAACTTGGCACGCTCTTTGACACTCATCCCAGAAACCTGTGGTGAACGACCTCGTGCACTTTGGCCAAGGCTTTGCCCATCTTGTCCCTTCAAGCGAGCCAAAAAGGTATCAAAGTTTTCAGGAGTGGCAGCTGCCAATGCAGCAAAGTCGTCTTTGGCAATGGGCCGCTGTGCTCCCGGGCAGTGCCTTGCAGGTGACTCCTATAGTACAGCCTTTCAGATGTGCAAGCTTGCAACCAGAGTTCCCTCCAAGTTGATGAGTGGAAAAGACTCGAGTCTAGCTTTTGACACAGCCAAAGCAGCTGACGCGTCTGTGGCGCCCATACCTTCTTACACTTCTGTTCCCGTTTTATCTGATCCGTCCTCACGGTCCTCAAAAAGGTGCCGCTCCCTGGGATCGGACATCAGCTTTCGTCGGAAGTCTGGACATCCTTCTGAGTTCGCACATGTTTCTACACACATTTCTCCTGGACTGTCAAAGTCAAGCTCTTCAAATGGAACTGCTTGAAGCAAAGGGGAATGAGCATCGGCAGCATAGGTGTCAGGCTCAAAGCCTGCGGACATCTTCTGGGCACTTCATCACTTGGCATCGCATAGATGGGACATGTTCACTTCAGAATGCTTTTTTGGGTGTGCACCTCCACTTCCTGAACTCTGTGGCTTGGTGATGCAACCTTTGCCACGTGAAACGCTTCGAACATTAACCAACTGTCTCTTGGTGTTTCTTTTCTGCCCTCAAGGATTGAAGGACGCTGGCTTCTTGGTGCAGTGCTGCTGGCACAGTCGCATGCAAACTGGTTCCAGGTCCTGCCTGAGCAGGGCCCGGTACTGTCAAATCCGATCCATGCACCAGGAGGTCTTCAGCCGTCTTGGGCTTTCGTCGTTGGTTCCTTAGATCCCGAAGGGCTCCTGGAGCACCTCCACTGTTTAAGCTGGTTGCACTGCTTCCGCTCTCTGGTCGACCAGAATGACCAGATGGGGCACGCTCGGAAGCACCTAAGAGCGATCCCGCAGCTGCACGCAAGGTGGGCGATCCAAACTTGGCACGCTCTTTGACACTCATCCCAGAAACCTGTGGTGAACGACCTCGTGCACTTTGGCCAAGGCTTTGCCCATCTTGTCCCTTCAAGCGAGCCAAAAAGGCATCAAAGTCTTCAGGAGTGGCAGCTGCCAATGCAGCAAAGTCGTCTTTGGCAATGGGCCGCTGCGTTCCAAGACCCAGGAGGCTGCTGGCATTGCTCCCAGCCATGGCAATGCCATTCGAAGCTCGATAGTCTTGCACATTTTGAAGTAGGTCGAGGCTGTCAGGTGCTGTGGCTTCCCCCGCCTCTTGCTTTTCACCAAGGACTGAGTTCCTATCCGTCAGATCAAGTCTACCTTGTCGCGGATACTGTGGGAAGCCTTCAAAATCACAAGTGAGCCTGTTGTGGAATTCGCCGTCTGGCGAAGGTCTATGGGTTGGTTCCGAAGCTTCTGGCCTGGAGCTGGGGGTTGACTCAGCACCGAAGTGGCGGCAAACATTTCCCCATTCACTAGCTGGTTGAAACTGGAGAACATCATCAACAGGGTCAGAGGCATCAACTGAGCTGGTGCCGCGACGCTCTTTGGATAGAAAAGCAGAATTGGAGAGGGATAGTGCATGGCATTCCCCACCTTCCGCTCGAGCCTCACGCATGGATTTTACAGCCCCCTGAAGCAGCATCAATGGATCTGCAGTATCTTCGTCATTCTTCGCTTCCAATGACTCCAACAACTTGGACGTGCTACCAAGGCTTGAAGCATCCCGCCTGGAAGGCACATAACTCTCGTAGTCTTGCTTTAAACTCTTGTAGCTCTCATTTGAAGGGTCGAAGGTTGGACCTCCCTTCGTTGAGGCCTTCCAGGTGGCTCCAATAGTACAGCCTTGCGGATCGACAAGCTTGGACTCTCCAACCAGAGTTCCTTCCATAGCAGATGTGGCTGATGTAACTTGGCCAAAGCCTTCTGAAAGTGGAAGAGACCGTCCAGCCTTTGACGCAGCCTTTGACGCAGCTGAAGCACGTCCGTGGCTTCCACTCTTCTGTGTGTCCTCCAAAGGTTTGCCCCAACTGTCCTCGAAGAGTGATGCGCCGATGCTTCCTGGTGGGGCTTCCGGAGCACTTGAAATGATCGGTAAGTCACCCTCGGTCTCTGGCTGTAGCCATGGAACAGGAGCCACTGGCCATGTTGATGGGTTGTTGGATTCCCTCCGCAGGCGTTGGAAGTCCTCATCGGACGGATAGCCTGAAGTCTCTGCAGCTGGATTCACACTTTGACCGGTTTGGCTTGGCTCATGCTGGGCTGGTGGCTGCTCATATTTGGAGTAAAACTCTCCCCGCCACGGCGTTTCAGATTGCTGCATCCCAGAGACATCCTTGGGTGTTGATGCCTCAGAAGGCAGCATGCTCTCCAACGGCTGTAGCTGCGCGGTATTGCCTTGCAGCAACATTTGCCGCCGCAACTTTCTTTGTAGCTTCTTGACATCTTTCTCCTTCTCTTCAAGTTGTTTGGCTTTCATGTCCAGCAAGTCTTGTTTGGCGATCTCCTTCTCCTGCCGAAGTCGATCGGCCTCACCCTGTAGCCTGGCTAAGGCTTCTTGCTGGTGGCGGTACAACTCCTGTTGTTGATACATCAAGCCTTGGAGCATGTCGCTCACCGGTGCAGCGTTTGGTACACTTTGAGGACCTGAACCTAAGGTTCCATGGAAGCTTCCCTGAGCCATTGGAGCAGGGCAAAAACTATTCCCAGAGCTTTGAGCAGGAGCTGAATTTCCTTCCCACGGAAGAGGTGAAGCGGCCGATGGTTGGGGTAGGCCGAACAAATCAGATCTCTGTCCAACCTGTCCTTGATTCTGATCGCGTGTCGATCTGGAAGCGCGTCCCATTGGCTTTGGAAGAGGCCCAGGAGGTTCGTCATCTTCGATTTCGTTTCGCCTCTCAGCCGCTGCACGCTCATTCTGCTGATGCAAAGCTTTCTGCCTTGCTTCATCCTCCAGGCGTCTGGCCTCCAATCTTGCTTCCTCAGCTGCTTGCTCACGTCGAATTCGCTCATTTTCACGTTCATCTTCCAAGCGCCGTTGCTCTTCCTCCTCCTTCTTTTGTCGCTCTTTTTCAGCTATTTGCTCTGCCAAGGCTCTCTTCATCTCTTCCTGCTTCTTCCGTCGCTGCTCAAGCGCAACGTCTTCGGGTCCCAAACGCCCTGCATTTTTCATGAGCGCATCATTTGGGGCAGGCTGAGCAGGCCCTCCCCCAACTGGAGGATAAGGTGTCCCAGCCACATGAGCCACATTGGTCATATCATGATTGGGCCCCGCTTGCATGGGAGATGTGGGAGCCATCTGCACCAGCTGCTGATGCTGCAGCTGCAGCTGCTCTTCTTGTCGCCTTTGCTCTTGTTCTTCCTTCTTTTGGCGCTCCTTCTGGGCAATCTGCTCTTCCAGTGCTCGCCTCATCTCTTCTTGTTTCCTTCTCCGGGCCTCCAGGGCCCTTTGCTCGTCTCCAGCACCCATGTTGTTGACGCCGAAGACTTGCGGGACGCCAGGCTGAACAGGCTGGGCAGGCTGAACAGGCTGGACTGCAGACGGGAGAACTTGGGGGCTGGGCACAAAAGCACCTGGCGGCATCCCGAGCACTTGCATGTGGTCGGCAACACCAGGTGGTTGATGTAGTTGATGTACGTGATGCATTTGACTTGCAGGCATAGTTGGTATCACTTGCATAGCACCAGGCAACGCTGGAATACCCAGCATGTGCTGATGAGCTTCGAGTGGTGAAACTCCGTGCGGTGCTTGATGAATTACATCTGAGTATGCTCCTTGTGCTGGGGTGTAGGGTTGTTGGTGCTGGTAATGGCCAGGCAAGGCTACTTGAGGTACTTGTGCATGGGCCACTGCTTGAGGCACAGCCCTGACAGGAATCTGGAAGCAATGCTATTGGAAGGAAGCACACATATCAAGAATCAATGGCAAGCACCTCTCTGGCACTCCATGAGGCCAGGGATCAGGTCCAGCTGGAAAGCCTTGTCACACAGCGGTTGCTGGCAAAGCACGTTCACCCTCCCCTCGCAGCCTCTCTACACAATGCCTCTCTCGATTGCAGAATCCAGAATCCCAAACTGGCCTCCGGCACCATGTGCTCCATATTGCGCACCATGCCCTGCTGGTCAAAGATGTGGCAGCGACATCAGGCAAAAATGTCAGACTCCGGCAGAAAGTGCCCGGCCTTCCCCAGGATAGTGTGCAGCTCGGATTTGACTTCGGTCATCCTACCCAGGTGCATTGTCCATCTTGCAAAGCGCTACATCTTCAAGTCAGGCTATTCAACATGCCACCTGCCTGATGAACGATCCCAGGCGCAGGGGCCTGCCGCACATGAGAAGAGTTGGTGACCAAAGTGTCGGAAACCACGAGTCCCTGCCTGCATCATCTGCCGAAGCTCCGGATTTCGGGCTTGTGCCCTCTCAAAGTCAACCTAAGCGTGACTGGATGACACTGTATGACTGGGAGCCCGCCTCTGAAGCAAGATGGAGAAGCTATGTCAAATGCAGCTGTTTAATCTAATTACCAATGTGACCACAAATGTGGGGACTGGGACACCGGCACGAAGCTGCAGTGCATGTCGAAGCCTGGTTGAATTGAAGTCATCAATGTTTGTGGTCCATACTCTTCCAGCGAACGGATGATCTAAACAGCACTTGCCACTTCGCCAGCGCAATATATATATATATATATATTAAATATATAATACAAATAGTCCTCACCATCATCACAATGTGAGCAATGACATGCCGTATTTGGGATAGCAAGTTGTCTTGTTTAACATGAATTGGTATCCTTCAAACTTCAAACTAAATCACTTCATTTGCGATTGTTCTCTGAGCAGCGGACATATCTGCGCGCTCATCTGAGCCCTCAGGCATCTGCCGCGCAGTGTCCTCCGCCTGCTGAACCTGAACGTTGCACAATGTTGTGCCTTGCACAAGTAGTGTGTGGCCGCGTGGCCCACTTCGTGTGCAAAGTCAATACAACATTAGAGTGTGAACAGTCAGTGAACAGTCCACAAGCAGTATCAGAATTTGCCTCCCTCTCCTTCTCTCGTAGTCTCTCCAGTGCCCTCAAAGACGCAAAAGACATCATCTTGGCGGAATGTGAAAAAGCAACGACCAGCCTATTCTGCAGGCGCGCTTCTCGAGGGTTCAAGTCCTGGTGACTCAGCTGGCTTCACAAGGGTTGAGAGCTCCACAAGCTGACTAGTCCTCTCGTGCATATTCTTGGGGTGGAAGTGCAGCACCAGCATTCGCTCGAAGTGGAACGGGTCCAGGGTTTATTGGTGATGCCCGACCAGGTGCTGCAGAGGGATCCGGCCTTCTCTGAGCTTCTCGTTGACGCTCCTTCTCTGCTATCTGCTCCTCAAGTGCTCGCTTCACCTCTTCCTGCTTCCTGCGGCGTGCATCTTGTTCCCCAGCCCCCAAATTGCCCAAACCATAGGAAGGCTGAGGGCTGGCTGCATTCAAACGAGGGGACTGGCGAACCGGCGATGATGGAGATTGATGAGCACCCACCGGTGATGTTGGTTGCAAAGGGCCACGGACATGGTGCTCCACATATTGTTCGTTGACATCGTGTCCATGCCTTTGGTGTGGCTGGGCCAAAGGTGCTGCTGCACCACGTGCTGGAACATGGGCAGCCGGCCCTGGAGGAGGTGCCATTGGAGGCTTGATTGTTTGTTGCAGGCGGCCTGGCGATTGGTGTGGGCTTTGCTGTTTCTCTGGTGGTGACCTGACATCAAAAGTATGATCCCCAAGCTGAGTTGCCCGATGGAAAGAACATGACAAACAATCAGGCCCCGTGTAGTGGGGATGTACTCCGATGCCAGGTGCTTTGTACCATTCATCTCTCTAAAAAAGAACACACTAGTAACTATAGTAACTGGAAGCTTCCTTGGGAATTGTTTCTTTTTCTGGGAGTCGTTGAACCTGTAGTAACAAGATTTCTGCATCCAAATTGCCTTTGAGGCAGGCCGAAGAGGCCACCACCAGGATTGCCTCGAGCTCATGACCCTGTGTGGAGTGGCTATCTGGTTACTTGCACTTGTTGACATGTCCAAGTACAGAACTGTGATCTACTCCTTGACTTATCTTAGCTAATTGCTCAGCTTAGCTTTGCCAATTCATCATGTTTAGGCCTGAACCAGCTGGACCAAAAAGTCCTCGGCTCTTTGGGTTGCCTGGGCCGTCGACCAAGAACGGATTGCTGGGCTCCGGTACACGGAACACATTCGGAGTGCACAACAAGCCGTCAGTGACCTACAGGTGTCTTGCACAATCGGTAATCAAACAGTTCATGAACATGCTGCTAGTGCTATAGGGAATCTGAAGAAAGGAGGTGGATATCATTCCTGAGGCCGCAGCCAGCATCAAAGGCCGCAGGCCGTGGAATTTTTGGCCCTTCCTGCAAAGCGGCCAACACCCGAAGAATGTAGATGACTTAATTGTGGCAACTGGCTCATTCCCCCATGCTCACCGCAGAATCATGTTGCGATTCCCTCCATGAGCGATGAACGATGTATTTTTAAATATATATACATATATAATGTGTATATATATATATATGTGTGTGTGCGTATGTGTGTGTATACTTTGTGTATACGGCTAGACTGGATCTTTGACTATGGCAGGTCTAGATTAACCTACAGTAGGTCGACAAATAAACAGTCAAACACGTTCGAGCAAAATGACAGGGCTGAGAAAAACCGGTCCGTCGAAGGGGCTTTCTCTTTGGCTTGCGCTGCTTGCGCTGCTTGTGCCGCTGCCTCAGCCTTCAAAGCAATCAATGCATGTGGAACCAAGCAAGGCAGAGTTGAACGCAAACGAATATATATATATATATGCATAACCCATCAACCACAGCATGCCTGAAGTAGTTGTTTCAGCTCAGGATTCTTCGCTTGCTCTTTTTCGAGCTCAACCTGACACACCCAAAAACTAAATCAACAGCAAATTACAGTAATTAGGCGACCGACAGCAGAAGTCAGTAAGATCCACACCCGCAGCTGAATCGCTTGCCTCATCCTAAGATGCTCTATTAGCAGAACGCATTACACTCCCCAGAACTTACGATGAAGTAAATCTCGGCGAGGACGCTGTTTACGAGGAAGTTGGTGACCATGTAAATTCCCCCGGGAATAGACGACAGGCAGGTAAGCCCAATCAGCAAACGAGGAAGGCCAAAGAATGCAATGCTCATTACCGAGGAAGCTGACCGCCCCGTGCATCCCCGAAGATCCTGGAAAATGACCAGGGAGATACACTTCCAGGTAAGCCAGGGTTGCCTGCATGTTCATAGGAATATTATAGGAAAACTACTTCCTCGTAAGTTCTGGAGAGAGTAAACATTGCGCAGGAGAAGTGATGCATACCAAGGACAGCTGCATTCTTGTTCTTTGCCCAAACGTCAATAAGTAGGCGTCTAAGTTTATGACAAATCCCCACGTTCATCAGAACCTTCTGGCATCAAATCAGCTGCAGCTTCCATGTGGGCCACCTCATCTTGCAGGTCAAGGATTGAAAACTTCTGCTACAGTAGCAAGGCAGGCAGAAAGCCGGCTGCGGCTAAGGAGTTTCAAGCAAGTCAATTTCGCCCATGATCATGCCGTTCCAACAGGTAAAGTTCAAAGTTCTTCATTGACACCCGCCCCAGCCAGCCCCTCCAACTTTCGTTGGACAATCAAACATCCCTGGCAGAGGTGCCTCTTTTTCCTTCTCACGAAATTTTTCCACTGCCCTGGCAGAGTCAACGCGCAGAGTCAACCGTTATCACCAGCCTCATCCATGATAAATGTTGTGTCCTTTTGATGTACCTGTAGATAAATATATTTTATTACGCTCAATTGTTTGAGTTACATTGTCAGATTATGGTTTATATATAGCTTCTTTGAGAAGCCGGGAAGACTGAGATTGAAGAAACTACTGATCTGAATGTCCAATCACGCCCCCATATGGTTGCCGCACCGGTTCTGAAGATGCAGTTCTCGCTGCACGTTCCATTCCTGTCGAAGCAATCAGTTCCCAGCTGCCGTCTTTGTTCCCAGTCTAACGCAAAGCGTGCAAATTGAACAATGAATCTCTTCGTGCGTTTGCAGATTGCACACCTGCTGAAGAGCCTCCTCGGTCACGGCAGCTGCCGCCGCAGCCTCCTCAGGGTTCTGCTTTGTTGTGCCAAACTCTACTACTTGAACTGAAGCTCACAATTCAAGTTTGGTGCCGCAAAATCCGCACTCTGAAGTGAGGTAAACGCTCGCTGTCTCTCCGCTCTGGACCGTGGCTGCATCCTGCCAAAGTCGGCAACTAAAAAAAATAAAACAGGTCCAGCTTCCAATTGCAAGGTCTTTGGATGACGCAGCTACCGCACCTGAAGTCACAAGCAGCACATTGACCAACAAAAGCCGCGGGCCGTTGAATCTTGTGCTGCCAGCAATGAAAGAGGTGCACAAACACGAAGTTGGAGATTCCCCACAAGGCTGCATGCCCCATAGGCTTGCATGTTATCCCCATAGGGTTACCTATTATCTACAGGCCAGGCATTGACTATATAGATGCAGCAGCCCCCAAGAACGGAGGAGCATGCCCGAAAAAAGATCAAGCCTTGTTAAGTCACAGTATGACACAGTTTGTAGATGTGTATAGATCTTTGCATTTTGCTTGCATGCCTATGCGGTCTCCCACAAACAGCGGCTCGAGCCAAGTATTTCAATATTGCCGAACAAATGAGACGTTGGAGAGGCATACATCAAGGACCAGTGTTCATCCAGAAAACAATAGCGAGGGCCTCCAACCTAGTAGTAGTGATGGCATCCAACCTGCCTCCAAGCTACTTGAGGAGACGGGGGTGAGGTGGCATGTCTGCGGCTGCTGCTGCTGCTGGTTGCTGCTGCTGCTTGCTGCTGCTGGTTGCTGCTGCTGGTGCTGCTGCTGCTTGCTGCTGCTGGTTGCTGCTGCTGCTGCTGCTGCTGCTGCTGCTGCTTGCTGCTGCTGGTTGCTGGTTGCTGCTGGTTGCTGCTGGTTGCTGCTGCTGCTGGTTGCTGCTGCTCCTGGTTGCTGCTCCTGCTGGTTGCTGCTGTTGCTTGAATCCTGAAGACTGCTGCTGCTGCTGCTTTGCTGTCCCCCCCCTCTTTCAATTTCGTCTGCGCAACCCCCCAAAAACTGAAAGAAAACGAAGGGTTGTGGAGGCCAAACTTGTGTGAGCTTTGGTGCTTTGCTGCTGCTGCCGCTGCTGCTGTTGCTGTCGTTGCTGCTGCCACTGGTGCCACTGCTGCTGCTTTCTGCTTTGCTGTGCTGCTACTGCGCTGCTGCTGCTGCATTGCTGGTTTGCTGCTGCTGCTGGCTGCTTGTTTCTGCTCAGATCAATAGGGCCCCCCCCGACATTTAAAACCAACTCTTAAACCACCAAAATCAAGCACGAGAGCCTCTCACCACCCCCAATACATTGCTAAAGCAAAGACAACTCAGGTAGCGTAACCGCTACCTTTCGTGAACAGCGATGGTTTCCAACCTAATGGCGATCCAGAAAACAATGGAAAGCATCCTCCCTGGATCTCCCAGGATGTTCAATTGATGGAGAAGGCGGTCGATCGATCTTTCTTGCATTTTTTGCGAAGGCTTGCTCTGCAAGTCTGTCGGGCTAGTCCTTGTTTGGACATCTTTCTTGGTGCGATCTGCGGTCAGGAAACGCCATGCATACTGGCTTTGTACCAGCTGCACAAGTTGTACAGGAGACAGTTCGGAACACCTACAGGCCTACGGTGACCAAGCACAGATGACCAAACGTTTAGACTCTAAAGCTGTTGGACAGGTAGGTTCACTTTCACAACAAAGTTAAGTCTTAAACCTAAGTTTGTTTGCAAAGCTGGCAGTGTCATTGCTGGTCGCCTGTGTCAAGTGAGAATGGATTACAGGCCCCAGGCAACCCGTGCACCAAAGTATGCAGGCTTTGCATGCAAAACTTTAGCGGCCAGGTTCCAGGGCCTTTGAATTCTGTCAATTGAAGTGTTCAAAGGTTCAACTTCTTCAATTCAGAATGCACAATGCCTGCCATAACGTGACAATCATTGCTCATTGGACAATTCTTTGCCACCTCACAAGCCTTCTTGGCTTTAAATGTAACCCTACTGAGCCCTACTGCAGATCCCTGCGCTTGAAGCGCAGGGTTAAATGAATGTCAGCGTTCTTGGCGACCGCTAAATGCATGCTTCTCTTTCTTACCTTGCATCGGACAATCACTGGCATGGCTCACAATGCCTTTTGTCTGTCAGCTCCATGGCATGCAACACAAGCACAGGATTGATACAGAGTTCCATCTGATCCTAGCTACCAACATCAGTACTTTGCGAAAATCTTAGGACGCGCATTGGTAGCATTCGGGTTGCTTCAAAAATCCATGTTCAGGATCTCTGCATGTCTTAAGGCTACGCGGCACCCTTTTCAATCAGGGTGCAAGCGCAGGGTCTCCACCGGAGCCTTCTCGCCCACAGCCTTTGAAGGATCAACCTGGGCGGTCGCATCCATCCATGACAAGCAGCTTCTTATAGGTCTGAACCAACCAGAAAAGCTTGAAGGTGCTGATCTGCCAAAGGGCTTGCTCTGCGTGTGTCGTCACCGAAGTGGTACTGGTGGGCTGCTTGGGGACCGTGACGTGACTGATGGCGACGGGATTGGCGGTGACGGGTTCCTGTGCCCAAGCAGAAACGCTCCGCAGAGGTCTGGCATCTAATTGTTAAGTTTCACACTGCTCAGTGAAAGAGGTTTCCTGAAGATTTTGCCAGGAGCGATTGGTTGTGAGAGTTGAAGAGGTTCCAGATGACCTTGGGAGAATGCATGCAGAAATCACAAGGTAAACAAGCATGTGGACAAAGGCGAATTCATTCTTCACTCTTTTCTTGATGACCCTTCTTTCATCCAACCCTTGGGCTGCCACCCCATGTGGTTCATGCGTGGACGGTTGAATCTCACTGATACAGGCCCCGGCGCCGTGCCCCATCCTGCACATGGCACCGCGCTAAAAATAATCCCGATGCCATTTGTAAAATTTGTTCTGCATCGATGATTGCATAGTTTCAACATCCTCCGCATACAACTTGAGAGGGGGGCCCGGGATGAAAACTATACCCAGGAATGGGAAAGGTTAGGAAGGAGTAGTATCACCTTGCTACTACATGAACCGTCAAAGGGCCAACGAAGCAGGTCGAATGAGAATATACTTGGCTCAAAGAAATCAAGGAATTCGTTGATGGCTTGGAGAACCGAACCTCGCCAAGTTCAAAAAAGAAACCAGTCAAAACACCAATAGTAACACCAATCTCACATTCAACATGGGCGAACTGGCCCAAGGGTCCAATTGCCCGATTTGTGGCAGGACAGTCTGCTTCAACGCGCGCTCAACTTGCAAAGAATTTCAATGCCACAGTAAAAAGGAACATGCATACATAGAGGGCGCTCAAAAATATACTGTAACTCTCTGTGCAAGTCAATGACAAATACGCACCGCTGGCTAAGTCTGCTAAGCAGGCTCACGCAAATGACAACGCAAGCTTCTGCAGGATGGCTTCACATGACACGCAAAAGTGCACGAACGCACGCTTCTATTCTCCAAAAGCAGTACGAGCCTTCAAAAAAAGGGACAGTACGACTTGCGCACATTGAGCGCTCGCACGGGCGTCCCAAATCTGGATGTTGCAAGCCCTCCCTACAACCCAATTCGTGCAGCGATTGATGTCGGCCCCGGCCGCCCCCAGAGCCCTGGATGCTAAGCATGCTTAGTTAAAAGACAACTTAAACATTCCCCTGTCGCTTGACATCCGGCCCCCACTTTAATACGTCCAACCATGCAGGCAGCAAGTGTTGTGGTTTCGGGCTCTTGCCTGGCAAGCATGCTACAAGCATTTGTTACAAGTGGCTTCAGGTTCGCATTGTTACCCGTATCATCGTTGGGGCCACCTGGTATTCAGGACAAATATAACTATAAGTTATAAATAACAACATGTCTGGATCTTCCTCCTCCTCCTCCTCCTCCAAATCACATACTTATCATGTTGCTCCAAAATGAATTGGGCAAGTCTTCGGCAAATGACTAAACTCTTGAGCACGGGGCTTTCATACGGTATGGTGGTACATTAGCAGAACTATCATAAAATATCATAAATCATATACTGTTCAGGTTTGAGTTGCAATTGCAAAAGGTACACTGCCTCAAATGGTTGAAAAATATTGAAAAATATCTCAAGACACGACGCTCCAGCCTGGTCTGCTTGGAGCATTCATCTGCCAATATGAACCGCCTGGAATGGGAGAGACAGACCTTGTCTCTGTCCTTCCTGCATAGGCAGGCACCATACAGCAACTGGAGTTCGGCGAAGGAGAACGGGTCGCCTGAGTATCACAAACGCAGTCAGAAAGGATCACCGTTCACCATTCTGTCGACCGTCTCTAGTGGCTTGCGTGACGCTTGCGTGACCACACCTCACTCAATTCATACTCATGTCGACCAGTTGCTGGTCGAGGAAGTTGGCCAGTTGAAGCATGAATCACAAGTCGCTGCCGCTGCAAAGGTTGAGCGCCAACAGCGCCAGCAATCTTTGGAGCGCCAGGGGTTGCCACTAACAGGGGGCTGCCCAAGGGTGGTGTAGCTGCACGATGATCAAAGGGAGGCGGAGTTGTCCGCACCACAGGCTCAGTGCTGAAGCCAGAAGGTGGGCTCGTGACGCGAGCCAAAGGCACTGGCTGAATAGGCATGGAGGGCACTGGAGACTCGTCTCGAACACGAACTGGGCTTCGAGAAGCAGCACGGGCACTCCCATCGCTGTTGAGCATGCAAATCAAATCCTTAGTGAAAAAGGACCCTGTATGATGTATATATATATATATACAGTAATATACATGTAACTACTATCTTAGTTTTCCGGCCTTATAAACTTCATATTCTTAGGCCTCTGGATGCTTCTGGTGTTTGGACTGAGGTCTCCACATCCCGCAGGTGGTGGATTTGAGAAGTGATGCCAGATGCCAAAGAGGTGAGCGAAGCGGAGTCACCTTGACCTATCTTGTCCCCAGCCTCCTTAAGGCAGCCCCTGAATTCTGAGCGAATCGTCTCCATCATGCTTGATTGCAAATCCTCCAGCCTCAGAAACTCGTCGCGAAACAACATGCACACGTCACCGAGCACCTTGAAGAAAGCCAAATAAACAAGTATGTACACACATGGAGATATGTCCACAATTGCAGCTTTGGAGCAAGTCTGTGGCGCGCTTGGGAATCTCTTGTCCTTGAGCTCGTGGATGTGCCAACAAGAGGCGTCGAAGTTCCGCCATTTCTTCTGCAAAGGCACGCAGGCTGCCCGAGCCTGAACAAGCAGAAACACGACTCTTATGCGGCATCGTAGCACATCAAAACCCCCACAAGGTTCTATATTTTATAGCCTTCCTGGCCACATGCCTATTCCGTGACATCGTTACCGTTACACCACACAGTGTCAGGGCTGGGATGAGCTCTGTGCCGCCGGGTCACTGAGACGAACCGCGCTGTGCTGACGTGTGATCTGATCGCCATCCCTGAGTCACGATGGCGAAACCAAGGAATCGTTTGGCCCTTCAAATCTCTCGGAGTGCATGCAAGTGATTGAGGAGTTCTTGGCGTTGGGGCGTGCGGTTGGAAAAGGCCAAACGCTACTTATACAATCTTATATACACTGTCCAACATGTGTCCAACATCCTCTCGTCAGCCTTCCCTCCAAGGGTGATGAGCTCATGCTTGAACCGGACTCCATGCCTGGCAAAGAGTGGGTTACGTAGACTCACAAAGCTACGCGCAGCAAAGACATGTGGCCAAAAAAAACCGAGTGTAGGGCAGAACATTTGACGAGAACTTCCAGCATCTGAAGCACCTTTGCCTTCTGCAACCTTGGTTGCTTGCAGGCACACTTCGGAACGACTACATGCACCAGTGTGCCAGTGGGTAGATGAGGTCAAGCAAGTGCCGGGCCTTTGCTTCCAACTGCTTGCTGTCACGAAGTTGCTGCCTCAACTTCAAGCTTCCTCCTTGCGAGCTGTCGCTGAGAGATGACCTGCAAGAGCTTTCGGCATCATGCAGCATGCTCACTTTGAGGTGCTGAGGTCCGTGCTTTTTGCTCAGAAGTACTGGAAGATCCCGACCAGATATTTCCCGAACCTAGCCCACACAGTTTGCAATGCTTGCTGTCTCTTTCAGCTGAGAACAGGTGCTTCCCATGCATTCTCAAAGACGAAGCGACGACGGCGTCTGCTTGGCCTTCTGTTGAGACGAGCCCCTGGAGATGCGACGGCGAACACCTGGACTGGAGGGGCCTGGCCGACCGGGACGAAGCGCGGAGAGGGACTGCGGAGAGGGACTGCGGAGGGTGCGTCGCCTCCTGGTGCTTTGGCTGAAGAGCTCTCGGAAGCAGACTCTGTGCCACTCAACTTGTTCATGCATGCCTCCAGCACAATGGCTCATGACTCATGCGTGCTCATGCCCATTGTGCCGCTGGACTTCCAAATTGACTTGCAGATGTACACCAGGGAAGATTAACATGGAACCTGAAAATGGACCTTTGGAAGACTACTTTCCTCTACAACCTAGCGGTTTTCAGGTTCTGTTGTATAATCTTCCCGGGTGCGGTGTATGTATATAAATTAAACATGCATATTACATCTATTAAGCCATATATAAAGATTATACAGCAGAATACAGCATATACAGTATCAATTCAACGCACTTCTTATGTGCTGTGTACTGACGACTGTCGAGGTGCACATCAATATCATCAATGTCGAGAAGCAGGTCAGTGATGCGATATGGAGAGTTGCAGGTCGAGGATGAGACATATCCAAGGTTGTTGGATGTCAAATATATATATATATATTGATTGGAAGCTAGTGCCAAATCCCCACATCAGGAGTGGGAATTGACATTGGACAAATGCCAAAACTGCATTCCCCTGAAGAATGTCTTTTGCCCGAGGGCCCCCTTGGCACCAAAAGGGGGGGCCCCCTAATATACATTTACGGCAGCTGAAAACATGGCCATCACTGACCTCAAGCTCGGAAAATATACATTAATTCGATCGAGGGCCCCCGAATTCGATTAATTGCATTAAGCTGTTGGAAGCTGACACACCGCACACAGGCTTTTTTTGCTCTCAATGTGCTGCAGTCCCTGCATGCGCTGCATAGACATGGACATGTGTTTTTGATTTCACTACTAACTACGACTAACTACTACCTACTACCTACTACCTACAACCTACTACCTACTACCTACTACCCACTACCCACTACCCACTACCCACTACC